CACTCATCACGAATTACCGTTGTAGCAAGACACATATGCTCCATCACTTTCAAATCCATCTTGAAAGTCCTATTGGCATACATGGGTGATTTAAGGACTAAAACCTCGTTTTGATCCAAAACGCGTAAAATCTTATTATCCATGTGAATCATGTAATTCTTCTAAAGCAATTGGCCAATGCTTAAGAGATTAAATTTTATTCCTGGAATGTATAACACATATTTGATCAAGGAGTGACCACTATCCCTTCTCATGATTAAAACATCACCGACCCCGTCGACCGCTAAAGTGGTGTCGTCTGCAAATTTCACCGTATTCTTTGTAGCTTAATTGATTTTGATAAACCAATTCTTTCTACCCGTCATATATGTTGAACAACCAGAATCCAAGTACCACTCATCATTGCCTATAACTCCATCTCGAACAGTTATCATTATGTTTTGCTCAAACGCGTTTCTACAATATTTTTCGAACTGCTGCAACTGCTATCCAATAACTTGTAGCCGCTACTGTTGTTCTCCATTAGCTTATTACTGCCATAATTCTCACCAATCTCATAGACACGGGATCCCCTCTTGTAAACAGAAGCAGGTCATCTGCAAAGCTGAGGTTAATGATAGATAGTTTTTCGTATTTTGGATGAAAATTGAAATTCGGAACCTGATTTAGCTTTTGCAGAACACGATAGAGATACTCCATAACAATCACAAAGAGCAAGGGGAAAAGAGGGTCCCCTTTCCTAAGCCCTCTCTTAGCTAGTACAAGATTAAAGAGAACTCCATTCACATGGTATCTATACGACACAATAGTCACAAAATCATGATCCAATTAATGAACCTGTGAGGAAAACTTAATTCATTCAAAATAGCTTCTAATGCCGACCATTCCACAATGTTATACGCTTTGTGTAAATCCATTTGGAGCATGAATCTTGGAGTACCCCCCTTAGTATTATAGCCCTTGATCAGTTCATACGCCAACAATATATGGTCATGGATACGCTGTCCCGGAATAAATGTTGCATGACTCTGATGTAGAACTGCACTCAAAACTTTTCCCAGACGCGTAGACATGATCCTCGAAATGATTTTGTAAATAAATATACAACACGAGATATGGCGAAAATCTTTCACCGTATTGGCGTTGTCCGATTTAGGAATCAAGGTGATTACATCATATTTAGATGCTTTGTAGATAAGACCTTCCTTAAAGAATTCTTTTTACCGCTGCAATGATGTCAAACTTAGTTATGCTCCAGGTAGATTTGAAAAATTTAGCATTATACCCATCAATCCCCGGTGAAGAGATGTCACTAATGCCTTTGAGACTACTAATAATTCCTTCTTCAGTTATCGGTAACAAAAATGATGCCCTTTGATCACTAGTGAGCTTCTTGCCCTACCTCATAGCTACAAGATCAATACTATTCAAATGGCTGCTCTTTGTGCCAACCAGGTCCCTGTAAAAAGTAATAATCTCTTCTGCAATTTTCTCCTGCTCAACTATCATATCACCATTCTCAATAACAAGCGATAAAATTTGTGTTCTCATAGATTTCGATTTTAAGGACGCATGAAAGTGCGCATTATTCCCGTCTCCTAATTTAAGCCAATCAACTTTTGATTTCTGCCTTAGAAGTTGTTCCTCAAGGCTGCTCAGCTTCAAAACATGCATCGTGCATCTTTTCACATTCTCAATAATCTGCATATAAACTGGTCTGTTAGAAGATCTTTTTGCACAACAGTGAGATGTTCTCTTGCTTTGGCCAAATCTCTCGAAATGCCATTGAAGGTTCTGCTCAAGGATTTTATAGCAGGTTGGAGACGTTTGAGCTTATTCCACAGTCTGCACATATCAGTAGTACCCCAAACCGGATTATTCCAGTTCTCTCTCACAACATCCTGAAAACCTAAGACATTAGTGACTACATTTTGGAATTTGAAGGGAGTTCTACTGGGATGTCTGACTTCCTGTTTACACAGGCACATGAGGGAGTGGTCTGACACCCTAGAATTCAGAATTTACAGATTAAAATCTTCATGCTGTTGCAGCCAACTTAAATTACTAATCACATGGTCTATACGCGAGTATATCACACTATTAGCTTGGTTATTTGTCCAGGTATAATATTCTCCACTACTATCTTTTTCATGAAGATCCGTTACTTCAAGCATCTCCTCTAAATCTCTGTATTCATTCTCAGTGATCAAATTCCCCCTATTCTGTCTTGAGCATGAAGGACATTGTTAAAATCCCCCATGAGCACCCACAGAACAATGATGTTGGAATGCAAAGTTTCTATATCCTGCCACAAAATTTTCCTTTGCTCCAATGTGTTCATTGCATAAATTGCAGTAAGCCACATATACAGATCTCCATTCAAATGGGTAACATAATAATGAATATATTGGGAAGAGCTTCTAACCACCTGCAGATTAAAATTGGTCTCTTTCCACATCACCCAAATTCGACCATTATTATGGCCAGTATAATTGTCCTTAAAAGACCACATACGCCCAAACTTCTTCCTAATGTCAACAACTTTGTATAATTTAACACGAGTTTCTACTAAGACAACAATATCAGGGTGCATTCTATTGAGGCGGGAGCTGACCTCATTACACTTACCTGAGTTATTAACCCCCCTTACATTTCAAGAAACAATCACGTCCCCTTACCAAGCATGTCTTCAAGCCCCCAATATTGAAAACATCAAAGCCATTCTGACACCTAATATTTTGATCAGATTCTGCAATTTTACCTTTATGCCTACCACTGCTCTTAGCAGTTGTCCATGATGATGATTCTGGTTCATCTGTGATCTGCTTGTTTTCCTCATCAGTCTTCTATTTGGTATTCGTAACTATCCCCTCCGCTTTTGGTTTTTCTCATCAGTCATCTGTGATCTGCTTGTTTTCCTCATCAGTCTTATGTTTGGTATTCGTCTGTAAACAAATGGTTTCCAATGGCACTCTCAATTTTTCCAAGACTTTTGGTACCCTATAGATATAGAGGAAGATTAGGAAGCTTTACCCAAACCGGTAATGTGCGCAACATATCTCTCTTGAAGTCAAAATCTGGATTCCAATCTTTAAGAACCATTGGCATACTCTGAATGGTATAGGGGCCCTTCATCAGGACCATGTCCTTGTCCTCGTGTGTACGAAATTTCAGTAAAAAATATCCATCTTCATGGTAGTACATCTCCGGCAACTAAATAAAACTCCAGAACTTCGTCATATACTATTTAACCGCGTTCATACTCAAATCCCTACCCAAAACATACATAATCAGAGTCGTTTCCCAGTACTTGAGCTCAGAAAGAATGTCTTCCTCTTCAATCTCAACTTATATTTCTCCTTCCACTATCTTCGGGGCAAAATATTCAATTGCAGCTCCATTGAACGTGATTCTATTCCCACTAATTACATCGACCCACAATTTCTTAGGTTCCTCACCAACCTTTTGGTTTCTCACCTCATTACTTTCTAGGGTTACAGTTTTTTCCTCTTTCACTGTCGCAATCACATCAATGTCAGGCTTAGTCGTTGAACTTCTCTCTGAATCAATTGTTCTCCCACTCTACTTCAAAACATTCACAAGCAACGAAGACAGAACTTCTTCTTTGGACGCCCTCTCCCGCGAGCCATATCACCACAGAGTTAGCACCTGAAAGAATCAATCCAAAATAGTCCCTTGTCCGAAGATTAGGAATTTAAACCATTTTGAATCAACCCCAACTAGCAATGTCTTCTCACAAAAGAACCATAACGGAAAGCTTGAACGAAAAAACGCTAGCCGAAAATCGCGTTGATGTGTTGCTCGAAAATTGAATTATGATTATGTTTTTAAAAAGAACATTATACCCTAAACAATATTATTAAAAATATTATATCCTAAACAATATTATTTTTTTAAAAAACAGAATTGTTAAAACATTATTATTAAAAAAAATAGTATAAAAAAGTATAATAAAACAATAATGTTTTTTTTTTAAATTAAGTTTATTAATATATTTTATCGTTATTTTGAAAAAAATATATTAATTTGAAAGAAAGAAAGTATTTTTTAAAGTTATAATATGGTAAATATATTTATATACTCTTTTAGTATAATATATTTAGTATTAAAAATAGATTACATATTATAAATAATATAATTTATGTTTAATATTAAAAATAAATTTATATTTTATTATATTTTTGTATGTTAGTAAACATCATAATATTTATTTAGAAAATAATAAATAAATATAATTTAAAAAAAAAAAGTATTTTATTAGGGGATCAATACCCTCACAAATTTCATATTTGTGAGAGATTTTTGTCATTTATAAAAAATTAAACCCTTGACAAATAATTTTTTTTATAGTGTCTTTCCACTTCCTTATTTTTATCTCTTGTCAGTCTCTTTTCTTTTTACTTTCTCTCAACTTTCTTTTTCTCTCTTCAACTTTTCTCTCTCCCTTATCATTAATGTTTTTTATTCATAATATTGACAATATGTATAATAAAGAATATCAAAATAAAAATTATATTATTTTATCTAATATATAAACATATTAAATAACTATGATAGAAAAATATTTAATATATCAATATTAGAATATAAAAAATTATGTTGTATTATTTTATACCATAATTATTATTTTGCAAATCAAACACACAATTTATGTCAATGTTATACAAATTTTGAAATTTATTTTGATTGTAGTGAACCCAACCCAAGACCAATCAATCCAAATTAATAATAATACGAATATACAGACTTAAATTAATGTGAGAGTATTTTAAAAGTTTGATTTGTAAAATTATTATGTTGTTAACAAAAAAAAAGAAAAGAAAAATTATTTTAATTCCTTTTAACTCAAAGAAAAATACTGCCCCTAGAGTATTTTAGAAATAGAAAAAAATGGCAAGAAGATATATAGTAAGAAAAGAAGCTATATATATAAAAACCTAAATAATTGGAGAGGATTGGTATTGAATTAATCTTGAACCATGTCATCTTACTTTTCTTCTTCGTTTCTTGTAATCCAAATTCCAACAGCAACAACGGTTTCTGCTGTGAAGCAGATGGCGCTTTTCAAACCTCTCAATCTGAATTTTCGAAACGGCAGATGCATCCAACGGCAGTTGAATCACCGTGCTCGCTGCCACAGCTCTGTTAAGCCATTGCGGTTACGGTGCTCAACTCCTTCCAGTGGCGGGAACCACCTCCATGATGATGCTATTGTTCTCCATGTTCGGGTGTGTGCTCATTTTCTCTCTGTTATCATATTTCGATTTTGACTTGAACGAATCAAAGTGAATTGGATTCCAATTTGTTATGCAGGGAATGATGTGTGAGGGATGTGCATCCAGCGTCAAGAAAATTCTAGAAACTCAAGTATGTAGACTCATTTTTTTAGCCTTTCCTTTCTTTAGATAGTAGACTCAAGTTTGAGGTGGTTTTGTTATGATCTGACACGTTATATAAGATGATTTAGTTACAAATGTTACTATTGACTGCAATCTAAATGTACGTTATTATGGACAGCCACAAGTGTTATCTGCTACTGTGAATCTAGCATCAGAGACAGCACTGGTTTCACCTTTATTATCTCAAGATAAAACTCCACCAAATTGGCAAAAGCAGCTAGGAGAAACACTTGCACACCATTTAACTACATGTGGTTTTACTACTACCCTTAAAGGTATGGTATACTTTCAACATCCTCACCATATTTAACATATTTTATTCACTTTTCTTATGGTGTTTGTTTCATTGATCAACATCTGCACATGCTACTATATTTCTTGTTTGCTTTTTGTTTTCTAAAATTTCATGCAAAGCATAGAGCGGATTATGAAGCATGAAACCGTAATACTTTTTGATACATCCCTTTTATTGATATCTAAACAATTAATGGTATATCCATGGTCTATAAATGAATATTTGAAAAATTCTCTTCTATGTTTTTTAAGAGTTGTACTCCTAAAGGTACATCAATGATAACCTATTAAGCACTGACACCCCAAACACGATCCCGACACTGACACGGAAACACCGTTAAAAATAAATAAGTTAAACGTAATCACAAGTGTCGGTGCAGGTGTCCGACAGGACACTGACACACCTTTTTTCAGAAGTGTCGGTGCTACATAGATGATAATGCTATTAGTGAGGACTAGTAAAGCCATGGTCGAATAAACTAATAAATTAGTGAATTGGGAATGAATGTTTCTTGTGCACTCTTCTTCTTATATAGTAATTTTGACCCGTCTCAGACAAAAGCCCGCCATAGACCATTTAATGTGATTGATCCTTATTGGTATGACCTCTTAATGTGATTGGGAGTCAAGATTGGTTTTCTCCAATCCCCAATTATGATATCCTCTCATCAGCCATAAACGCCCCCCCGAATCATATCTCAATCAGATACTTTTCTATACCAGATTTGGGCCCGCATAGCCAATCTAGCCCATTAACTATTTCAGCCCGACCACACTCTTTTGAGTGGATCGCTCGATTGGGGCGGGCTCCATTGGATCCGGGTTCCTTCATGTCCGCTTCAGGACCCGATTCACAAAACCGGACATGTACAAGAACTTTGACCTTGATTCAGTTTTTAACTAATTGCTCATGATAATGGACTCAATCTGTTGCTAAGTCTACTTGTTCTTCACCTAATAATTACTATCTCTAAATGAGATTAACTGTATCTTATTATAGAGATAATTTGATTTACATGAAGCATGGTTGGTTGGTTAATTGGCAGGTTAGGAAGATAGTGACTAAAGAGTGGTCATCTATAGTCAAAGGTTTAAGGTATGCTGTTATTTAACATAATTGAAAGTGTTTATGATATAATGATAACATCCTTAAAACTACTAAACTGTTTTCAAATCTTTTATCCTTCAGTTTTAGATATCTATAAGATCTGCAAGAACAGTTAGTGATTTATAATTTCTATCTTCTCTTCAATAGGTGATTCTCTGAGGCCACTTATGGTGATTATTCGACTTGCGAGCTGTATAATTTACTGATGTTCAATCTTACATCAGTGATCCCTAGTTATCAAGAAATTTGTGGACTCATTTATGTGAAAATGGTTGGGTTTTGTATGCACTTTTGTCATAATAAGGATGTGTAACTTCCACTGATTTTAGATGCTTGAAAATATTTACAAAAGGCTACTAAAAATAAATTGCAATCAACATCAAACCAATCCCTGTGATCACAAAATTACTAGAAAATGGCTATTCTTTTAAGGCATATCTCTATTGAATGCTGTTCTGATACAGTTGCAACTGGTTTTTAAATCAAAGAGTCGTCATCCTTAATTTTTATCCTAAAAGAAGAAAGTTTAAAGGAATAACTCTAAAGTTCAGAGATTTTAGATTTGGACTCGATTCTAGACGAGGGAAAGGTGTTAGGCACCCCCTTATCTACCTTGTTCACAAGGATACTAGGTTTAGAAGCGCATTTTTAGGAAATAGGGTTTTTAATTATTATTGGGAAAAAGTTTTGAATTTTAGTTAGCGGGAAAAGGGTTTGAATTTTAGTTAGCGGGACTCGCCACGATTTTAATCGTATGCCTATGTATTCTCTTAGGAGGAATTAGAGTCTCATTTCGTAGTTCGCGGTGTGGTTGGTGTTTTTTATAAGATTGCGTAGAATTGATTTTACATTATCCTTGAACCTTGTCTGGGTTAGAAAAGTAGGTGATCATAGACGCAATTCGCAGTTAATTTGAAAGTAATTCTCCTTTAATCCGTTTTCGAAATCTTTTTGTAGTTTTTGTTATGTTATTGGAAAAAAAGGTTTATTGTTGGTTAGCTATATAAAGAAATACCAACCGAAATGGTTTGACTGAAAGGTTTAATCGAACTATTTTGGAGAGTTAGATGCATGTTGACTAGTGTTGGGTTAAAGAAGGTATTTTAGACTGAGGTTGTTTCGACAACAACATATCTGATAAACATATGTCCTTCGATTGCGTTAGATATGAAGACACGTGAAGAAGTTTGGTCGGGACATCCACCAAATCTCAACAAACTTAGAGTATTTGGCTGTGTAGTCTATGCTCACATTAGGCAAGACAAGGTCGAACCTAGAGCTCTGAGATGCATGTTCATGGGATACTTTGAAGGGGTCAAAGCTTATAGGCTATGGTGCCTAGAGCCAGGTCACAAGAGGTGTATCACCAGTCGAGGTGTAGTTTTCAATGAAGCTGAGACGACTTTTAAGAAAACTGATGACATTGGTCGAAGTGCAGAAATATCTGAAGAAGAGCTGGAATAGGAAGAGAACCATGTTGAGGTGGAGCACGTCGATGTTGAATTGCGTATACCACATAAAGTCGAAGAAGAAGCACAATATGCTGAAGATACTAGGGAAGTTGAGGAAACTATCCATAACTACCTGTTGGCAAAAGATAGGTCGAGAAGAATCATCAATCCACCTCAGAGACTAGGGTACACATATCTCATAGCTTATGCATTAATCTCTGCAAGTGAGGTTCTAGATGAATATCCTAGAGACTGTAAGGAAATTATGAGGAGTTAAAATAAGACTTAATGGATAAAGGTCATGGATGATGAGATGAAATCTCTTCATGATAACCACACTTAAGAACTGATCAAGAAATCCGTTGAAGCCAAATTAGTCAGTTGTAAGTGGGTTTTCAAAGTTAAGGAAGGAATCGAAGGAGTTACATCGAATAGATACAAGGCAATATTGGTCATAAGGGGTTTCACTCAGAAAAAAGGTGTCGACTTCAATGATGTGTTTTCTCCTGTTGTGAAGTGTAACACCCCAATTCTACCCCAAGCAAATTATGCGAGATAAATCAGAGTTATAAAATTTCATTAATACAAATGAATCGGGACGTCACAAATTTTTCTAATAAATTCATTGCATTCATCATGGATATATAACACTTTTAGAACATCGGATGAACCATCGACATAGCATCTTTAATAAAATAATTCAACAACTATGCAGCGGAATTCTTCAATAACATTTCTAAATAAAACAGCAACTTCGAAACATTTCATATTTAATAATAATCAATTCAAAACTCAACAACTGAAAATCAACAATCAAAAATCAGCAAGCGTTCATCCCCCCGAGTGTTACATATCAGAGCAATGACACCGACTCGATCTATTGAAGGTATACAACATTCACTCTCGATTACCTGCACGTTACCAACATAAGGACAACATTCAAACAGAAGGGATGAGATATCTAACAATATAATAAAGCGCATGATAATTAATATATTAAATTAGATCAATAATATCACCACTTCTCATCTCATAATCAACAACAATTACAGCATATATACTCATTCATCAACATCAAATACATTTCATTATTCAATCATATAATGTGACTCAAACCTATGCAAATGCATGTGGTACCATTGGAGCAGAACTCCCATCTCAAAAATCTGACAATTAATAGAGGCATCAACAAGGCATAGCCTTCATCTCAAAATTTGCCAATTCAGGTCATCTCAACGAGCATAAGCTCCATCTCAAAAGTGCAATGTATGCGAATCTTCATGAATGTAATATCAACATCTCAATCATCTCAAAACACAACATCTCATAAACATCTCAGAACAACAACATCTCATAAACATCTCAGAACAACATCTCAATCATCTCAAAATAACAACATCTCATAAACATCTCAAAACATCTCAATTACAGCATCTCATAAACATCTCAAAATTATTTATTAAACATCACTTATTTATCAAACGTCATTTGTTCATCATAACTATCAAACACAACTTTAATAACCACATCTTACTAACAACTCAGCTGTATATTAATACTACAGTAATCCCTACTGTTATTCTGCTACTGTACATCATTATTGTCACTAATCCTACTGTCATGATCCTAAGAACAACCTCTAAACATCTCATGTTCATCAATCTGTCCAAAAATCAGCACAATGGTCATCTACGAGAATTAATTCTAAATCTTAGATTGGTTACTAGGATTACACCTCTTCCTCATCATTTGAATCATCTAGAATAAAGTTCATCGCGTTATCTAATCAACGCTTCGAACGACATCTCAAACAGCATCCTACAACTCAAGTTACAGTAATTTAAAAACTGATTCTGTTAAAATTAGTCAGTATGGATCGACACGAAATTCTATGGATCGACGCGTAAAGCTTCTCCTGCACAACATGAGTCGACACATCCTCCTCATGGATCGACTCATCCTGCTCCTAATCACAACATGTATCGATGCATGCTCCTCTCCGATCGACTCATCCTGAGTCTTGTACTCGTCATGCATTGACGCAAACCCTCCATGGATCGACTCATCCTGCTTCATCTATTCACTATGAGTCGACACATCCTCCTTATGGATCGACTCATCCTGGCTTTCAATACAGCATGTATCGACACAAGCACTTCACCGGTCGACTCATCATGAGTCTTGCAACTGACATGCATCGACGCAAGCCATGTATGCATCGACTCATCCTGCGTCTTGTACACATCATGCATCGACGCAAGCCCTCCATGGATCGACTCATCCTGAGTCTTGTACTCATCATGCATCGACGCAAGCCCTCCATGGATCGACTCATCCTGAGTCTAACATCGCCCATGTATCGACTCATCCAGCTTGAGGTCGACACATCCTGGTTCCTCCTGCATAATTTTCTGCGTTTTCTATTGTAATTCACTACGGGAATCTAATTACAGTCCTACAAACCTCATTATAATCATGGTAATTCATCACCTAATCATTAACCTATAATACTACATCGATTAAACGACAACATAACATCATTATTCATTCAAATTCATCAAATCTTCACCATACATCATTCATAACACATCCGATTCAAGAACAAACAGCAATTACCTATAACCCCATATATCAAACATCATGAACCCAATTATAAAGTCAGAACCCCACCCTTACCTTGGATCGAAGGTCGCTCTATAATTTTCGGGTTGAATCTTTGTTCTTGCCGTCTTTCCACTTTTTCCAGCAACTTCACGTTCTTCACAATCCTTATTTTCTCTTCTTACTGCTTCCTCCTTCTATTCTTCTCACAAATAATAAAATAACCTAATATTATTATATTATTCCTTAGTGGGCTCCAAAATTACACCCCCCCTTATTACTTCCACTCACACACTATATACCCACATTAAATAATATTAACTTCTAATATTATTTCACCACCCAATAATATAATACCTCAAATATATTATTATTTCTCCGCTTAATAAAATAAATCCAATTTAATAACACTTCTTCACAAATATTCCAAAAATAATTTAATTAAATAATTAATTAAATTACGGGCGTTACAACTCTCCCCCACTTAGAATATTTTCGTCCTCGAAAATTTACCTCAATCAAACAATTCAGGATAGGAGTCTCGCATCTTGCTCTCCAATTCCCAAGTCATGCTTTCACCAGCAGCTCCTAGCCACACCACTTTAACCAAGGCAATCTCTTTGCCCCTCAGAGTCTTCATTTCACGATCTGCGATCCGTATAGGCATCGTCTCCACCATAAGATTATCCCGTACTTGCACATCGTCCATATGAATCACATGAGATGGATCTGAAATATACTTCCTAAGTTGCTACACATGAAGCACATCATGTAAATTCGAAAGATTAGGCGGTAAGGCCACTCTATAAGCAACATTCCCCACTCTCTCTGAAATCTGATATGGTCCAATAAAACGATAAGTGAGCTTCTTAGACTTCAATGCTCGCCCAA